TGCATTAGCATGGTTCAAATCGTACTTATCTGACCGCCATCAATTCGTAGCAGTGAATGAAGAGGTATCATATCGACCACAAGTGCAGTATGGAGTACCTCAAGGCTCAGTACTAGGGCGGTTACTCTTCATGCTTTATATGTTAACTCTGGGAGATATCATCAGGAAACACGGTGTTAGCTTTCACTGTTAATGCTGATGATACTCAGCTCTATATTTCTTCACGGCGCGGCGAAACATACCAAAATGAAAAACCAATGGAATGCATAGTCGATATAAAAAACTGGATGACGAGTAATTTCTTACAGCTAAATTCTGGAAAAACAGAGGTGTTAATTATCAGACCTAAAACCTCCCCATGTAATAACCTAGAACACTCTCTAAGACTCGATGACTACTCTGTCAATTCTTTGTCATCAGTTAGGAACCTAGGTGTGCTATTTGATAGCAATCTTTCCTTTGAAAGCCACGTTTCTAAGCCAAGCTTTATCATTTGTTTATCCGTATTGCATCTGTTTTTTATTTGTTGAACATCAGTTAAATTGTTACTCTTAAATTGGTTTGGACATTTTTGGTATTTTCTAGTTCGGGGAACAGATACAGTCTCTATAGTGTGATATCTAGGTGAAAGAGTCTCTGTGTGCTGAGAATGAACTGATTTCTGTGACGTGAGGCGGCTAGCAGATGGTCGGGTTAGCCAGTCTGTCTGCTTCCTGACCTGGGCCCCAGTTAGTCAAGTGCAAACTCTAAGACTATGTGTTATATTTCTAGACATGAGGGTGTCAACTATCTCCTGGGGTAGGTTACCTAGAACCTCCGCGTCCCGTCCAGGGACCAGACATGAAGTTTCCAGAGGTCTGGATGCGGGTGCCAAAGGGTGCCCCGTCTCTGAGTCAGTAAATCCTTCCTCAGAGGAATCGGCCAAGTAGCGGCTGTCGCGAGGAGCATTAGTTCCGGGAGACCATATTAGCTCGGTTCTGTCAACACTGCACTGGCTCCCTATTAAACATTGTATACATTTTAAAATCTTGCTTATTACTTATACAGCCCTGAGTGGTTTAGCACCTCAGTATTTGAACAAGCTCTTATAAGCTCTTATTACTATAGTCCTCCACGTCCGCTGCGTTCTCAGAACTCTGGCAATTTGATAATGCCTAGAATATCAAAACCAACTGCGGGCGGCAGATCCTTTTTCTATTTAGTGCCCAAACTCTGGATTAACCTACCTAACACTGTTCGGGAGGCAGACACACTCTGTCAGTTTAAATCTAGATTAAAGAACCATCTCTTTAACCTGGCTTACACATAACGCACTTACACATTTCTATTATTTAAATCCGTTAAAGGATTTTTAGGCTGCATTAAATAGGACAACCGGAACAGGGAACACTTCCCATAACACCCGATATACTTGCATCGCTATTTTCTTACGCAGTGCGAGTTCCCTCAAAAGGGAACTTTACATCTATTTATGTCAGATTGCGCAAAAGATGTGCAAAGTTGGGATCCTTGAGTTGTACACTGTCAGTGGGTTATGGCTATGTAATTGATAACCTCAAATCTGCCTAAAGCAGGGATGCAGAATTCAGTTCCTGGAGGGTCACAGCCCTGTTCCAAGACATATACCATGTAGTTTTCAAAAAAGCCTGAAGGACTTGATTAGCTGGATCAGGTGTGTTTGGTTAGGGTTAAAGCTAAACTCTGCACCCCTTGCCTAAAGAGTATGTTGGAGGCACTTTTGAATTGAGAGCTGTAAGAAAAGTCTCAATGTACACATTAGTGTACACTGTTCACACTGTACACTAATGAATGTACATGTAGTACTGCTAACAATTACATGATTAAGTTCTCTGATGATACAGCTATCCTGGGTCTCATATTAGATACACCAGATTCCGTTGCATATAAACATGAGGTTCAGAACTTTGTTCAATGGTGCAACAAACATTTTCTCATCATCAACACTAAGAAAACATTGGAGATGGTGTCTGATCCCAAATCCATTGGAGACCACTTACCAGTGGCCATCAATGACCAGAACATAGCCCAGGTTGATTCCTACAGATAGCTGGGCATACAAACTGATAACAAACTGACATGGAGTATTCAGGTAGAAAACATCTGTACTTAGGTTCAACAGCGACTACACTTTCTACGTAGGCTGAGGGTCATCAATGACCAGAACATAGTCCAGGTTGATTCCTACAGATATCTGGGCATACGCATTGATAACAAGCTGACATGGCGTGTCCAGGTAGAAAACATCTATACTAAGGTTCAACAGCGACTACACTTTTTACGTAGGCTGAGGGTCTTTGGTGTTAACCAGAGAGTGTTGCTTCTCTTCTATCATGCTGTAATTGAGAGCCTTCTGCGGTATGGCATCTCTGCCTGGTTTGGCAATCTCAGTGTACAGCTGAAAGCACAGATTACACGGTTAACACAGAGAGCCATGAAAATCATGGGAGTTAAGCAGCATCCCACACTTCAGGCTGTCTTTGCTGAAACCATCATCACAGACAGGCAAAAATTATTTCAGATCCCACCCATGTCCTCCACCCTGAGTATCAGCTTCTTCCCTCAGGAAGACGCTTTATTGCATGCTTAACCGCTTTAAGAATTCCTTAGTCCCTGTCCATCAAAGCTTTGGGATATATTCACACGTTATAGAAACGAAAATGATGGTGTATAGAATTGATTTTAAGATAAAAAATTAGACGACAAAGAATTAACTTGACAGAGCTCAAACTCAAAACACACGGCAGCAACAAACAGGAAGTGCAGAGTGGTAAACTTTTACTGAGTGTTTGGTGGTAATTAGTATTTGGTAAATCAAGATCTTTTCACAAACTGTACCGCAATTTAAATGGGAGATACCATTTAATTGTAACGATAACGATAATCAAGTATATTTTATGATTTTTTTTCTCTCCTATGAATATTATTATTATGACGATTACAGGTGTGTTGTATGATGGGTAGTGTGCAACTGGTTGGTCGATGGCAGTTTGTGTATGTATTGTAGGTATTGTGTGTGTGCATGCGTGTGTATGTATTGTATTAAGTATGTGTCCAAGACAATTTTCCCTCGGGACAATAAAGTCTATCTAATCTAATCTAATTCACATATTTTCAGAGCATCACATCATAAGTTTTTGCATTTGTTTGTGCATTTTTATCTTAAATTTGATGAATGTTTGAATTTTACTTTGACTGCCCTAAACCCTACCCATAATAGTATAGAGATTTGGGGTGGACTCATTTGACTGGAGCAGTAAACCACCTTACTGGTCCCCTCTCATGTCACCCATAAAAAATTACATGGCAATGCCCTAGAAACACCCATAACCTCTGCACAGCAACAAGCTGAAAAACAGAAGACCTATTTTTGTCAGTTTGCTGCAGCTCTAGGCACATACATCAGGGGTCAGTGCATCCTGGATCTGAAGATCTGGACCAGTCACATGAGGAGAACGATCCAGACCGCAGAGGCAATCGGAGTGCCTTATGAACAGTGGAAAGCACTGAACGAGATTGATGCTGTGAGTCTAGTCCTGTTTCTAGTCACACATATGACATTGTCAGCAGTTGCTGATTTGCAACCCCAGGCAGTAGCCCTTTGTTTTGGTTCTTTTGCAGAGTGTGTTTGTCTTCTTGCATGTCATGCATTTGTCATGTGTTCATGTGCAGGGTGTGTGTGAGGAGATGACTTACGAAGAGATTCAAGATCACTTTACTGAGGAGTTTGCTCTCAGAGACCAAGACAAATACCGGTACCGCTATCCAAAGGGTGAAGTGAGTATATGTTGTGGCAAGAAAAATTAGGAATTTATAGGTTACTCGCCAGTAGTAAATGTTGTTGGTTCACTGCGGAAGTTTGCATTTTTGTTATCTCTTGTGGGTAATTTATTGAACTTTGATGATGCATAAATTTCAACGACAAATAATGCGAATGACTCTGGGTTTAGTTTTTAATTATGATAATTATGCTCCAGTATGCAAATTATACCTCTCTGTTATTTTAAAATAGTCTTTAATTAGTGACGTTATTATCTCTCTGATCACCAACAATAACTTGTTAATAATGTAAATCATCAGAGTAAAGTCCAAGCACAGACTATGATCATTACATTTATACATGAATGAAGAGCTTCCATCTTCTCACCCATGTGTAGGGAACTCCATCCTCCACTTCAAATGTATGTATGGCCTTGTCGTTCAGTCTCACTTGTTTTGAATAATTCAGATTATATGTATATTTTGAAAAAATAAAATTTGAAAGTTTTGCGAACCGTGTATTCACACAAAACATGACGTTTTGACACTTAAAATCTGTCCCAGCCACTGCTACTTTATTACAAGAGTACCCTACTGATCCAGGGACAATAATTTAGAATAATACTAATTTAAAAATTAATTTGAAAATAATATAATAATGTTGTGTGTACTATAGACACAGCCAGTTTTACTCACTGAAAGATTTATTCATGATAAAATAATTACTTTATAATTGTATTGGAGTCTTACACATGCTATACAGCTAATCTGAGTCATGCATTAATTTGAGTGGTGACTATGAAAGTAGAATGACGTCAAAAAGATTTGCATATGCAGGGTAATATTTGTGCAGGAGATGCAGATAACATAGATGTTGACCCTTAAGAAACTTGAATTAATGCTGTCACGTAACAAATCTGCTTCAAAGATAAAATTAAATGAATTGCTAATTACAAAATTGAAATAAAAATGTAAAGCCTGTACAAATACTAGAAATCGTAAATATATAATTGGGAATCTGTCAGGGTTCTGTCACTTCGGTCTAGTGTTATTCATGGTTTTGTGACAGAGCCCTGACACTCCCGTCATGTCTTGTTTTCATGTGTCTTGTTGTCATCTTGTTTTTCTCGTCTGCGTGTCCTGTTTCCCTGTTTGGTTGTGGGAGCGTGCAGTCTCGAGTTCGCTCGGCCGTGCGCTCTTCTGTCCACGTGTGTTGTGTTTGTGTAGCACATGGTTTGTGTTGGGCCGCGTGCTTTTCTTGTTGTCTTGTGCTGTTGTTGCACGCAGCTCGTGTTATCGACTGCGTGCTTTCATGTCCTTGTCTTTGTTTTGTGTGAGCACATGGCTTTTGTCGTGGTTTCCTGTGTGCCATGTGCTCTTATGTCCCACCCATCTTGTTACCTGATTATTGGTTAATTTGCCCCACATGTGTTCCCTCATTACCCTCCTCGTTTGCTTGGTATTTATTATCCTTGTGTTTGCAGTCCCGTGCGAGTTCTTCTTCGTATCTCCCTGGATGTGTTCTGTCATGTCGTGTCCAGATCCTGCCTTGCCTAGCCTTGCCAGCCTGTTTTTCCCCCACGCGGTAGTTTTTGTTGTTTATTTTGTTTTATTTTTAATAAAAAGCCCTTATCTCCTGCACCATTGAGTCCTCTCCTCATCCCTTCATCCCCAACCCTGACAGACTCATGTAAAAAAAATAGCAAATAAATTAAAAACAGAGCACATTTCATTTATCTATTATAACATTTATCTAGCTTTGTTCGCTTGGCTGTGTCCTTATAAAGTTCCAGAAACTTGTCAGCTTTTTCATCAGGTGTCTTCTTTTAATTATATGATGTCATTACGTTGCTGTCTTGCCGCCAGCCAATCGCTGCATTGCTGATCGTGGTTTCGAGTATCGATACATCTGCCCTTTTCGCGTAACACGAGAACGTGCAGTAATCTTAGACAACTTAATCCACATATTTTAATCAAATCCACAAATTCGTTTGAAGAACCAAATTAGCCAGTGATCAGTTATCACGATTAGAAGATCTGGCATCTTTCAAATCATCTCAGATGTAATGTGACGTACGAAAAACGGGCCCCTGTACTGCAGCCAGCAACCAGGAGGCAATCAAAATGTTTTGTCTTCACATTTGGGAGGGTGGGGTGAGCTATCCTTTGAAATGTTTTTTTTTTTTTGAGGCCAGGTAGACAGTTGATCTGAAATGACAGTAAGTTGTTTTTATCCTTGTTTTATTTGTATTGCAATGCTTGTGTATTTGTGTGTGTTCAGTCCTATGAGGATCTGGTTCAGCGTTTAGAGCCTGTAATCATGGAGCTTGAGCGGCAGGAGAACGTTCTGGTCATATGTCATCAGGCTGTCATGCGCTGTCTGCTGGCGTACTTCCTAGACAAAACCTCAGGTAGAGAAAATCTTTCAGAACATACTACTGGAACATTACTCCAATACTTGAGCTGTACATTTGCAATCAAAAGTTTGTGGAACGACCTGGATTTCTGTATTGATTAAAAAGTGTTGTGATCTCTATTCAAGTCCACACTGCCACTATTCCTATCCATGTACTCTGGTGTTTGTTACTTTAGGTTTGATCATTAGGCCTATCATTATTTCCTCACGAGCTACAAAACAAGCTAAAAAACTATCCAAATAAAGACTTCCCTTATTCATTCAGGCTTGAAAGAAGGATTTAACCCCAGCCTGGAAAGCCAACCCAATTACCAGCCTAATTACCTCATTAACAAAGAAGTAGACTTGGGACACAGTTTGAACTATTCCACATAAATCCTTTTAAAATTGCCACCAGGGAAGTTCATAAATCTCTTTTTAGGGAGGACTGAACCTATTTAATATGTGAATTAACCACCAGAGCAGTGCTTAACTTGCTCCAGCATCAGCTGTTTCGGCATCCGGTTGTTCCCTTACTGAAGCATGTCTGTCCTTCCGAAAATTCACCGATTCCTGTCAAACAACAAACTCTTCTGTCACCATGGGGCACATTCAACTGCACAGTGCAGTCAGGCTTGTTCTTCAAGCCCAGACTAGCCCAACAGAAGCACAATTCTTCACTCCACAGAACACATTTCCATCATTCCTGAGTCTAGTGGTGTGCTTTACACCACTCCATCCGATGCTTGGCATTATACATGCTGATATGCAGAGGTGGACAGTACATTTGGACAGTGCTGCATTAAGCCTTTGCGGGGCCCTGGGCTAACGCAGCTTTAAATTTCATATGAAAACGGCGGCAGACTTCGGCTCCTCCCCGTCTTTCAGCACGTTCTTCAATCCGCAGACCGCGGCGGCGCAGAGCGAGAAACAGAGGACAAGATGTGTGTTTATCAATAGATTGTTATAATATCGGTATCTGTGCAGTTCTTTGTCATAAATAGAGTTTACAAAATGTCACGGGGGAGCAATCAGTTTTCCATCTACTGTAAAGTTTTCGCTCCGTTCACCCCTCATCACACCACAGCTGTTTCCTCCAGCAAAAATGCAGCCCTTAACACATATGAACGCATAGCCTACTTTATAAAACGATCATGTTGCTATTTTCATTTGAAAATGTAACTTTCAATATTAAACATATTACAGTGCATGTGGTTTAACCATACAGTAATGCACAGAACTGATTAAAAAGACAGTGACAGACAGTACTTGAGCATAGAAAGAGGTTTGTATACTTGAGCTAAAGAAAGAGCTTTGTAGAAATGCAAACAGTATAATTTCGTGTTTGTAGAGTAAACAGGTGTGTGTGTGTGTGTGTGAGAGAGATTTGGCTTATTCATTTCTCAAATGCTATAACCATCTATGCAATACAGTGGAATACTGCAATAAGTTTAGTATACCACCCTACCCAATTCGTCAAACAATTTTTTTTATTTTATTTATTCATTATTATTTTTTATTATTATAGCTACTCTCATTTGGGGCTGAGCCCCCCTAAAATGAAAATCCTAGAATCACCCCTGATGCGCACGTCATAATCCCATAGGAGGCAAACAATTATGTACATAAATTAAACAATATTATCGAATAATAATCTTACAAATCAGCAACAGCCCAGCAAATAAAATTAAATAGGCCTATCACTCACAACTGAAAGGGCTTTTTCCTGCTCTTCTTATAAATGCACTAGAAGTTATAGACATTTTAAAAATGTATAATGCAGTTTCTCTATTTAACAACATTAACTTACAATAGTGAAAGACATCTTCCCTCAGGTAGGCTATTTGTATTTATTAAGCACCGATAAACACAACAGCAGTTGACCATAGTGCTGTACAAATAAAATAAAAACCAGTAAAAAGAATAACATCAGTAAACTCAAAAGATAATTTAACATACAAAGTTTAAAAAGCCAATAAGAAAATAAGATTTCAATTTAGTTTTAAACTCATAATTTGAAGCTTTCACATAAAGGAAGGTTATTCCATAGTCTCGGTCCAACTATTGCAAATAGTAAAAGGTAGATAGTATGTTTTCTAGCTGGATGTTGTGCTTACGATCAATAATCACGTCTTTGCATTCGACCAAACTGATTTGCAGAAATCAAAACACGAGTCCCACTCGCTGTGAAGCGGGAGCGATAGGCGGCAGAGGATTCTGCTTGGTCTTAAAGCCTTCCTCGAGCGGCTACGTTCACAATTCAAACAATGCTTTGGAAAAATAATAATTTATTTGTTATTTGTATGGTCTCTGGGTTTTAAAGCAGGTTTGATTTTTCTTTCTTCCTTATCACTCTGTATTTACAGCAGTTTCAGTGTCCACTCGGTTCAAATGTGTATGAATGGCTTATTATGGCTACACGTAGATGTGTGCACTGTCTGCCAGAGCTGTGTGAGATCACTACCATGCTGCTTTTGTGGGGGTGGGTAGGGGTGTTAAATAAATTATTGTTTTTTTTGTCAACTTGTTTAATTTCTATAGGTTTTTAACATTCTAAAAGCTCTTTATTCAGTTGACCATAGTGCTGTACAAATAAAATAAAAACCAGTAAAAAGAATAACATCAGTAAACTCAAAAGATAATTTAACATACAAAGTTTAAAAAGCCAATAAGAAAATAAGATTTCAATTTAGTTTTAAACTCATAATTTGAAGCTTTCACATAAAGGAAGGTTATTCCATAGTCTCGGTCCAACTATTGCAAATAGTAAAAGGTAGATAGTATGTTTTCTAGCTGGATGTTGTGCTTACGATCTATAATCACGTCTTTGCATTCAACCAAACTGATTTGCAGAAATCAAAACACGAGTCCCGCTTGCTGTGAAGCGGGAGCAACTAGGCGGCAGAAGATTCCGCTTGGTTTTAAAGCCTTCACTGAGCGGCTACGTTCGCAATTCAAATAGTGCTTTGGAAATTCAAACAATGCTTTGGAAAAATAATAATTTATTTGTTATTTGTATGGTCTCTGGGTTTTAAAGCAGGTTTGATTTTTCTTTCTTCCTTATCACTCTGTATTTACAGCAGTTTCAGTGTCCACTCGGTTCAAATGTGTATGAATGGCTTATTATGGCTACACGTAGATGTGTGCACTGTCTGCCAGAGCTGTGTGAGATCACTACCATGCTGCTTTTGTGGGGGTGGGTAGGGGTGTTAAATAAATTATTGTTTTTTTTGTCAACTTGTTTAATTTCTATAGGTTTTTAACATTCTAAAAGCTCTTTATTCCAAAGATATACTACAAGCTTGTGAATCCTCTTAAGCTGAAGCACAACTTCTACCAAATTTTTCTTGTAGCTGCCTATAAAACATACACCACTCTGTGCCTTTACTGCTTGTGTGTAATTAGTCAGTGCATTCAGTAGGCGTAATGTATTGCAAGTATTACAATTGGATTATTATATTATTATTATATTATTATTGTTGATAATTTAGGCACTTAAGTACTTTTAAATGCAAGTACTTCTGTACTTTTACTTCAGTAAAAATCTGTCTTTACAACATTCACTTGTAATGGAGTAATATTTGACCAGCAGTATCTGTACTTTCACTCAAGTAATGGAACTGTGTACTTTGTCCACCTCTGCTGATATTTGTTCATTTATTTGGATCCCCATTAGCTATGCCCAAGAGCACTGTCTTCCTGGGGTCCACACAACACTTAAAATCCATACATTATTACGTACATATAAAAATATTAAATACATTTTTCACATTCCATGAGCACCACTTTAAACATTTCTTCCACCTTTTAATATATAACTCACCTACTATAAAACGTATTGCTCATTCAATTAATTCTTATGCCTCAACTATCTATAAATACAATAATACGGTGTGCCTTCACCTGCCTTCTAAAATCTTTTTTCCGTGTTATAATAATTAATGACCTTGGTAAAAAAATACCATGATTTCATTGCCCTATATAGTACTGTACGTCTCAGAAAGTTAGTTTTAGCATTGGGGAGTAAAAAATCTACTCTCTGTTGCTCGTCTAGTTACATATTCATGTGACTGAACATTGGATTGCACTGGTGACTTTTTACACACTCTTATGTGCCTGCACTCGTTGACCCCACTCTGTGCCTTTACCCCAATGTATCCTCAATGTGGTGTATGTTTTATAAGCAGCTACAAGAAAAATTTGGTAGAAGTTGTGCTTCTGCTAAATAGGATCCACAAGTTGTTAAAATCAGGGGTTCACTCACATTTTCAAGTATGCACGGTAAATGCTTAGTCAATGTCTTCAGTAAAAAATGTAACAGTACAACTGCTTGTGTGTAATTAGTCAGATTGTGTTTGTCTATAATTCTGGTCAAACCATATTGTATGATTCATCAATACAGAAATCCAGGTAAGAAGTTCAAGTTCACACACATCTTGCATGTCACTGATATTTACAACATTTTACTCTTAAATTGCTTGGATAGAAAACTGTCAGTCTAGGGTGTGCATGTACATTTGGCTGAGTGTTTTAATGACCACTCTGTCCTGATGTTCCTCCAGATGAGCTGCCTTATCTGAAGTGTCCTCTGCATACGGTGATGAAACTCACTCCTGTTGCCTATGGTCAGACTCTCTCACTCTTCTGAAATATAGCTTTTTACATATAGATCAGTTAGATCATAACATGATCTGATATTCTTATGTATTTTCAGGCTGTGAAGTTGAGTCCATTTTCCTGAATGTTGAAGCAGTAAACACACACAGAGACAGACCTGTGGTGAGCACAGTAATACTTTCATACTGTTTATCTACTAAAGAGCAGCCAATTATTTATTTATTTATTTTGCTTTGGTATTTTATTTTTTTTAACAAGTAATTGCTATTTTCAAATCCCTTAGTACTAATTTTACAACGGATCTTCAGCAATGCAGTTTTTTCCAAAATTTCAGCGCGTTCAGTTCACTTATTAGTACAAAGCTTTTCCATCTACATTTAAGAAGTGCTTCATCTTTATTTACATCTAATTTAAAGTATTTGCCTTTGATGATATTACAAACATTAAACTTTTAATTTGCGCCTGTTATGGTTGATTTTAATACATTTGACTGTGAATTAATCCAATTTATCTTAATTGTTAATCAGAGAATAATTTGGTATAGCTTATTTATAGATATAGATTAAATACAAATGGTTTGAAATTTTCCACAACAGATAACTACAGTAAATATAATGAATACTTGTTACAGTATAAGAATGATTTTAAATGCTAACAACAATGTTCAAAGTGTGTGTGTGTGTACTTGAATACATGGTTTATGAGAACTCAACTGTGTATAATTACATGGTTATTACAACATAAACATGGTTTATAAGGGTACTTCCTGTGTCCTCATACCAGATGGCTTAAAAATACCAGTTGGTTTATTTTGTTTTATTTATTTATTTAGTTAGTTAGTGATGGGTATAGGCTTAGGGTTAAGGTAAGGTCAACTACAGTCATATATTCAGTCATATACTACATGCATGTACAACCATAACAAGCATGACAGCAATTTTTGAAAAGTCAACTCCTAATGTTACAAAAACAGTTTGGAAATTTACTAAAATAGAATAAAAACTGTAAATCTAAGAAGTTTGGGGAAATTGTATGAGGGAAAAAAAGTGTGTTTTAATCCATAGCAGTCTATGATGGGCAGTATTCAGAATAATGTTTAATCAGTTTTGCTCATACTATACTGTAATGTCTTTTCTGTTTATCCTCTTACTGTATATTCCCATTCATGTTATATGATGGTCAATCCTGATGTTGGATTATGGGGCCTTGCTCATTTCTCCAAATCATCCCAGAGGTGGGTAACACTTTAGTTTGGGGACCAATTCTCACTATAAACTGACTATATGAGTTTTTCCTGAATAAACTCTTAATTTGCTGGTAGGATTAATACAGTATATACTTTATAAGTACTAATAAACAGCCAATATGCTAGTGATATGCATGCTAATAAGCAACTAGTTAATAGAGAGAATTGGTCCCTAAACTAAGGTGTTACCAGAGGTGTTTAATGGGGTTCAGGTCTAGGCTTTGTGCAGGCAATTCTTCATTAAGTTTTTCAGTGCCAGCTTGTGCAAAAGTTGAATTGTGACAAATTAGATTCCACATAAATCCTTTGCAGTCAGAAACTGAACTTTGACTGTGCCCTTACCATTTTTACTTAGAGGCACCACAAACAAGTGATTTACTTGGGCAGATAATTTTGTAAAATCCAAATAAGATTTACAGATCTTTATTAGAAATTTTTTTTCATGCTTGTTACCATAAACAATTATTGAGCATATGCCTGTAAAACAGTCCTCAAGACACTAACGGTTTACAGTCAAATGAAAATTTATGTCACATTTACAATAACTTAGGACAGTAAAGAGACCTTTCTACTGGCACTGAAAAACAGCAGAGGAAATATATTCATGGTTTCTACTCACCTGTGTGAACATTCATTGGTCCTGCTGCAGGAGGCATGAGAACTGCAGAGCAATAAACTGCATGGTCTGTAATGTAAAGTACGGTAAGCCAGTGCTACAGGGAAGGACAGCTGGTCGTCCTTGTAATGCCAGACCACATATGAACCCCCAGATGTGTTTGAGGACTTGCAAGTGCTTTGGTGGAAGAGTGAAGTTACATCTCACAGCAACAACTGGCAAATTTTTCCCAGTTCATTAAGATGAGATGCAAAGTAGTACATAAACCCTGGACACACCACATACTGACTGCTACTTCTGATATTGACCCCCTCTTTTTATATTCATACAGATATTTACAGATAATAAGAATTCTGATGAAAAAAAGCAGTCGAAATTGGGAAGACATCTGTATGTAGATTTAATTTTTTTAATGTAAATAATTCATTATGATTTGCAGATTAATTAATCAAATTAATCACACATCAATTTTGGCTAAATGATTATATAAAGTGTGCTAAATAAAAGCATTGAATAGACATTATAAAAAGTAGCTTTTGAAAAAAATGTTTTAATTCAGCATTAAATAAATAATGATAATAAATGGGTAATACTTTTTTAAACTGTTGTTCAAAAACAAATATTGAAATATAAAAAAAACACAAATAATTAAAAGATAGTCTCAATATCATACTAAAACTGCCAGTAGGTAATGGCTAGAAGTTGTCTGATTTGACAACTCTTGTTCACTCCTCTCCTTCATCGCAGCTGCCTGTTCTTGTCTACATTCAAGACAAAGGTATATCCTTTGTATTTTGTATCGGTTTGCTTTTAACAAGTTTGTCAGCGCTTGTGAAAAGAGTCATGCCATGATCCTGTGCTGCACCAAATGGTTGGGTCTTTGCCTGCAACTAGTATAAATATGAAGACGCTTTGCTCCTGGGTCAGCGTTTTTTCGCAAAAACATCCACAATTTAAAGCCTCCACAATATCTGACTTCTGGAAGAACCAAGGAGTTGTGTGAGCGGAGGAAGCAGATTCGGAGCACTGGGGTTCTGAAGATGGTTTAAATTGGGCTTTACCCTGCATTTCTTGTTCTGTCCCACTGAAGCACACGTTGATGCAACAATTTGTGCCCTGACTAGTTGTTGATGCATCAGACAGCAAAGACTGGTTTTGAGTTGACAGTTTAGCCCTTGATTCCACTCCTGGTACAGATGCCATTCTGAAATTTCCACTCAACAAAACAAATCGAATCTTGTTTCCACTCAGTGCTGTGTGTGTTTTTTACATGCAGTAATGTTGTTTGCGCTGCACAAATACATGTCACAGGTTCTGTAGTGACTCCCAAAACATGTTTTCATCTTTACTTAAATTCATGAATGTTTCTAATTAATCCAATCTTAACACGTGAATGGTCATCTGAAAGTGCACCATCATGATGTGTTTGAGTAGTTTATATTCATCAGATTTGTAATCGTGCATGAACATATAACAGTATTTGGTACATCCTTCATTATTAGAGAAGGGGACTTACAAATGCATGACAAAGATGCATTTACAAAAGTTAATTTAAGAACGTTATCCTCTACTTTTTAGCAGCCTCCTGTCTTTGTTTGAGATGTGGATTTGTGTGATATTGATCATCATGTTGTGATGTTTCAGAATGTGGATGTGGACAGAGATCCAGAGGATGCTTTACTGACCGTACCAGAACACAACTAGACAAGACCACACCAGTTCAGTTCTCTAAATGATTACATATATTTTCCTTATTTGTATGGCCTTCTGACCTTGGGTATAATTTTGTAATATTTGCAATAATTTTGGGGTGAGTGGTGTTATTCACTGTTAACGGTGTCTCTCAGATCTTGTATAAAATTACATGTTAAGTGAACGAGAAATGCCAACTACTTTAGATTCAGTTATTTAGATTTATACATTGATGTCATGAAAATGTATAAGTTATGGAAGGTGTATGTGTAAAGCGAAAGATTAGAAGGTCTAATTGTGCATTTGTTGTGATGTTCCTGCTTTATGAGTCAAATGACTGTCAGTCCAGAGACATCACAGCTGACCAGATCATTTAATCTCTCAAACTGCATCTCACAGGCTTCATTAAAGGTGAAGACAGTCATTTTTTGTTGTGTTGTCCTATATGACAGTCTACATTAGGGTCCTCAAATAGCAGACCGTCTTCTGGTTCTTGGTTCCAACTGGACTGAAACCTAAAGACAACAGTAGCACCATTTAACCATTTCTACTGTTTAATGTGAGCAGTGCATCAAAACAATGGAGCAGTACACTCCTCAAAGCACTCAGGGTAATTTATGGTAATAATCTTTTGACGCTATATACTCTAAAAATTAGCTTGCTTCATTCAAGCCCTTCCTACTCCTGGCGCATTGTTTCTCTCCCTCACTAAAGATGTTAACGCTTCACATTAAGAGCTGCAGATAACAGTATCAACAGCTGACCACTGCTTGGAAGGAAATATAGAGATCAGGGGCCTCATTTATAAAGCGTGCATATGCTCAGATTTGATCTTAGAGGGTGCGTACGCTTAAAGGGTTAGTTCACCCAAAAATGAAAATTAGCCCATGAAGTACTCACCCTCAAGGCATCCTAGGTGTATATGACTTTCTTCTTTCAGACGAATCCAATCGGAGTTATATAAAAAATTGTCTTTGATCTTCCAAGCTGTTTAATGGCACTCAGCGGGTGTTGCATGCATCAGTCCAAAAGAAGTGAAATAAAGCGCATCCATCCATAATAAAAAGTGCCTCACAGAGCTCGGGGGGTGAACAAAGGCCTCCTGTAGTGAATCGATGCGTTTTTGTAAGAAAAATATCCATATTCAAAACGTAATAATCAATTTAATCTAGCTTGCGCTCACTGTTGTAAACGGAAGCAGCTCCGGGCGGATGACGTATGAGGTCAGCGTTGCGCATGCGCCGCTCAGAAGTGACGAACGCAGAAGCGCAGGGGAGAGATCAAAACAAAACAACGGTCACTTATTAGAAGTACAAAACGAGGATTTGTAAAGAAGAATGTCGGAGGATTTCGCTATAAGCCAAGAAGAGACTGGTTTTCCTTTGCTAAATGAGGAAACTTTGCTTCCTTTGATCCTGTAAACAAACGTTGGTTTTCACAAGACTCACCGGCGCATGCGCAACGCCGACCTCATACGTCATCCGTCCAGAACTGCTTCCGTGTACAACTGTTGGAGCAAGCTACATTAAAGTGATTATTTCTCTTTATTATTGCTTTATTTCACTTCTTTTGGACTGATGAACTGCAACACCTGCTGACTGTCATTAAACAGCTTGTTTGTGTTGCACATCATAGAAGACAATGTTAGTATCCGATAATTTTAACTGTTGGAGAAAACTGGTTAATTTTAAGCTTTTTTGAACTATTTTCATCTTCCGGGTTTAAAATCTACATTGTGTTGACGTCACAATTTGTGACGTGGCAATGGACTAACACCCCATTCACACAGGGCGTCAGCGTCAACACCTCTAGTTTACTTTGAATGGAGTGACGTCAAGCGTTGGCGAAATGAATTGTGGGTCCGTCGCTCGCGGCAGAAGTTGAAAACTTTTCAAGCGCCAATGCAGGCGTCAGCCAATCAGATGACCTTATGCAAATACCCTAGCGCAGACGCTAGCCAATCGCGTTCATGCAACACCAGAAGACTAATGTGATTGGCTGTTGTCACTATGACGGTCGCGTCAGCACCATGCTTCAGAAACGCCCTCTGTCAAGCGTTAACACTGACGCCCCGTGTGAATGGGGCGTAATAGTACATCGATGACATGTCGGTGTCTATTAAATTATTAATGAGACTGCGTGTTCTTATCCTATGAGAAGATGCTTCGCTTAATTATTCATAACAGCATGTTGCTATGACAGACATTTCAGAGTCTGTGAGATGACATCGCGCACAATAACTGAGAGAAACATTCATGGATCGAAGAAGAGTGTTTGTTTTTGCTTTGTAGTAAGAGTTCGGCACAAACGCGATTCATTCACATAACCGTTTTTACACAACCCGTCAAAAGGCTTATATAAACGGGTTTCATGACCCTTTAATATAACTCCGATTGGATTAATCTGAAAGAAGGAAGTCATATACACCTAGGATGGCTTGAGGGTGAGTAGATAATGGCTAATTTTCATTTTTGGGTGAACTATCCCTTTAAAATAACGCCAACGCTCATATTTGTAAAAACGGTCTTTGACGTGGAGAAGTGCTTAGCGTCATGTCAGGATCTGAGCAGACTACGAACTTTTTCTTGTCGGAGTACTGCAGGTTTTTTGGAAATGTAAGCTGTACTTGCAGCTCGCTATTCTAAATTAAAGCATTTGGATGATGACTGGTGATCTTTTACATGTTAATGACATTAATTAGGAGTCATTTACAAGGCAGAGAGCTGAAACTATTAAGTTGCGCGCAAGTTCAAGATCATTAGCGATTCATAGATTTCACATCTGAAAGAGAGGTGTACGTGTGTTTTCTGTGTGTACGTTCAGTCTATGAATGACAAATACGCATATTTGAGAGATGACCGTAAGATCAATTTTAGGATGGTTTCTGCGCAACATTTTATAAATGAGGCCCCTGATCTCTGTGTGGAGCACTAGCTGTTGTCAGACAAAAATCTCATTGGCAAAATGAATGTTTGGAAATGCAAACTAATATTTCCTACTGACACACTACAGCAAAATATAGAAATAACTGACTTAAAACCATTTTTCAGCTGGTCAAACTATACTTGAACTAGTGTTCAAATAATTTTGGTCACCATGTTAACAGCTGAATTGATGTTAGATGTTGCACTACAAACTGTTGTCACTGAGAATGCTTATTTTTCTGAATAAGTATGAAATGGATATGTTGTAGTTTATATCAATTTTAAGGTCATGAATGATTTGTAGCCTCTCTTTGTTTCATCCACTGTTGCTGCTATTTAGAAACCATGTAGAAATGTATTACTGAACCAGAGTGTGGTAAAACATTACTGGTCTGGCCAAAGCTCAGATCTGAGCCACACTGCTGTCTGGGTTTTGTGCAGGGTAAGTTCTTCCACACTAGACTTGAAAAAGTATTTCTATGCAGAGTGCAGACCTTGCTTTGTGCACACAGATATTATCATTCCCATGCCTTGGAACAAAAAAAGCACAGAATTCTCTGGAGTGGCATTTTCAATTTATAGCACTGAATTGTCCTCACAGAAATGGCTGGAATAGTCAAACTTGTTAAATATAAGAGGGTGTCCACATACTTTTGACCACATTACCTCTACACCGACTTCTGTAAAATAACACTGTGAACACTGCCAACAAGAGAATTGTAAAATAACTTTATTTATAAACAAGAAATATTGTAATTAAAATATTTTACAAGTGTACATTTTTTTTTGACAAAACAAGAGAGCTCCAAAAATAAGTTCCATATTAAAGCATGTTTTTCTTCAACCTCAGTTTAAATAAGAAGGTCTATTTAAATATGGCTAATAAATGCACATCACAAGGTTTTCATGAGCTCTGGCTGCTGGTCTCAGCAGCACTGGCCTCTCTGAACTGCTGTGTCCAGCTCTGAAGATCCTGATCAAAAAGCTGTGAGACAAAAGACACATGCCAACACTTATTACTTACTAGAACTTTGATTTTATTTATTGGTTTGGAATTTATGTGCTCAAGTGAAAGGCATTACACTCATGAATAAATAATGATGGCTGTTTAACAGTCATTGTAGGGATAAATCTCATGAACATGTCAGGGCCTACTTTTTCAAACTCCTCTTGGGTCGTTTGTCCAATCTTCACCAAATTGTGCACAAAGCAATTATAGACTACGCTGTGAAAATAATTTTGTGAACTGCTCTGCATGTGCAAAAGAACGATAAACAAGACAGCATGTGCTGAAGTAAACAGAGAAAACTCAAGTTCATTAAAAAAAAAGTGATGTGCAAAGTTTTTAAATATTTATGGTGCCAACCCTAAAGTTTAGCTTGTATAGAGCGGTCACTATAATAAACAGTTAATTGAACTGGTGTATAAAGTACCTGAAAGCCATTCTCAAGTAAAAGTACAGATATCTTACCAGAAAATGACTTTGGTAGAAGTTGAAGTCACCGTTTAGAATATTACTTAAGTACAATAAATATCACATACTTTAAGAATTTTACTCAAGTACGAAAAGTATTTTTTAAATCTTAAACGTACTTAAGTATTAAAAGTAAAAGTACAAGTAAATGCAAAATGGAAAAGAATCAAATAAATACATATAAAAAATGAATATGAAAATATGTTCATACACGGCTTGAGTAGCAAGATTGTGTTCAGTTTTAACTCTTTCTTCCATTTTGTATTTTTGGGTAAGAATAAGAAACACTTAATCTGGTACTTAGTGTCTTTTATTCCAACATAAGAAATCATTTCTGGAATCTGCATCTGAAATAGCATTCAGATGTATTTACAGTGTATGTATCTCAGAGGGGACATGGATGCATTTAAACTGCCGTTAAAGATGCATAAACAGGTCTAATGTTTTGTTTTTAACATAAAAAGTTGAATACTGATATCTGAAATAATTTAAAACATGAAAAAAATAGTCGAAATGTGAAATTAAAACCCCCAGTAGGTGACAGCAAGTGACTGTTAATGAGTGAGTCATTGAGATTCAAACGACTGATTCATTCAGAAACAAAGCATTTGACTGTGTTAATGAGTGAATCACTGAAACATTTATTCAACTGATTCGTACAAAAAGCTGATTCATTCAATAACTCATCCGCGGTTGTGCGCGCACTTGTTTGCACATGAGCATGAGTCTAACTTGCGCGCGCTGACCACTGATTCGTCAAACCTGCTTTCCTGCAGTCTGTGTTCTTCTGACTATTTTGTAGTAAGTAACAAATATACTTCGGAGAAATGTATCGGAGTAAAAGTATACATTTTAATTAGGAAATGTAGTGGAGTAAAAGTAAAAGTTGGCTGAAATATAAAAACTCAAGTAAAGTACAGATACTCACAAAAAATACTTAAGTACTGTAACGAAGTATTATTACTTCGTTACATTACACCACTGGACATTGATTTGCGAAACATCAGACCTGTATCAGATTTAGGACCACATATGGAAAATCATAATCAAAAAGATCAGATTCCATTTGATTTGTGCTGTTCACACTGTCATACACTGTTCACAGCCCGTCTCCAGCAACATGATTCTGTTGTTGCTCAATTTTTTTGTTTTCTGCAGCAATTCAGAGCACGTTTCATACTCTTTATCCTGGCTGAAGCACATTTATTTCAATCTATAAGAATAATCAGCCTACACTACCAGTCAAGTTTTTGAACAGTAACATTTTTAATGTTTTTTTTTTTTAAGAATTCTCTTCTGCTCACCAAGCCTGCATTTATTTGATACAAAGTACAGCAAAAACAGTACCATTTTGAAATATTTTTACTATTTAAGATAACTGCTTTCAATTTGAATATATTTTAAAATGTAATTTATTTCTGTGATCAAAGCTGAATTTTCAGCATCATTACTCCAGTCTTCAGTGTCACATGATCTTTCAGAAATCATTCTAATATGCTGATTTACTGATTATCAATATTTAAAACAGCTGAGTACATTTTTTTCAGGATTCTTTGATGAATAGAAATATCCAAAGATCAGCATTTATCTGAAATAAAAATGTTTTTTTTGGGGGGGGGGGGGGAAGAAATTCTAGAAATTAATACTTTTATTTAGCAATGATGCTTTAAAGGGGCATCGGATGCCTATTTTCCACAAGGTGATATGATTCTTTAGGGTCTTAAAGGGGTCATATGATGCTGCTAAAAATAACATTTTGTGTATTTGGTGTAATGAAATGTGTTTATGCGGTTTAAGGTTAAAAAAACACATTATTTTCCACATACTGTACATTGGTGAGCAGAGGCGGCGGGCTTAACAAAGGCGCGGCCGGCGAATTCGACGAAGGAGCGTCCGGTGGGCTTGCGGCTCTTTGCAACTTTATAGATCTTCTTTATGCACTAAGAGCTTGTAACACTTCAAAGAGAAAGGAAAAATTGAAATCGCATCATATGACGAAAATGAAAAGTCTATAACATATTTTGGTTGAAATTTCTCAATGGTAGTGTAAAACAACACCCTTTTTACCATCAAAATCAGCTCTGTTTACAGCAAGCTGTTTTAGTCCATGTTTCTTTAAATGCAAATGAGCTCTGCTGACCCCGCCCCTCTCTTCCGTGGGGTGACGAGCCGTTCTCATGAGACTGTCTACTCTAGCCGCGGTACTTGCTAACTAGCACATTATTAGGACAGGTGATTTGCAAAGATTCATAAAAGAATCTTACTCTTACTTCTGTAGGTGAAGCTGGATCTCGAATGATTAGCGCGAACATAAGGGAATTTACAAATTTAGGCAGCGCGAATTTAGGCAGATCAGGGGCATATTCTCTTCAGAAACAAACGTAATCCACTGCATCTTCAGCGGCTCAGATGTCGGGAGTAAATGACGACTGCTATGTTCATTATTACATCCAACAACAGAACACCTCAAACGCTTAGGAGTCATTCTTGTCTACAACTGCTCCAGCGGTGAAACTGATGACAGTTCACTCAGGGCGGGGCTAAGATAAGACACCAGTCCAGTCTGTGCTGAAACGCTACTGTCAATCAAACTATCGTGGGAGGGGCCTGTAGGTCTAAGATAAGACACCAGTCCAGTCTGTGCTGAAACGCCACTGTCAATCAAACTATCGTGGGAGGGGCCTGTAGGTCTAAGATAAGACACCAGTCCAGTCTGTTCAACATTTTACTGTTTTTGCTGTACTTTGGATCAAATAAATGCAGCCTTGTTGAGCAGAAGAGAATTCTTAAAAAAAAAAAAATACAACAACATTAAAAATCTTACTGTTCAAAAACTTTTGACTGTTAGTGTATGTTAGCCTATAGTTTGAAGTTAAATATATTAATATTAATGAGATGATTATTTGACAGAGATTTCACATTTCTTTTTTTGTATGAAGGCTAAATACAAATAAAAGATTAACATTAATTTATTTGTTCTGTTTTTTTTTTTCTAAAATATTATATAGTTTTATAGGAGGAAGTTTCATAGCCTTGGAAAATAAATTTTTCATAGGTTTGTAGGTACAGACATCTGTTGTGGGTGTTCTTGGCAGTTTTTATAAAACATTAGTGAGTATTCAAAGTCAGGGCATGGATCAAATAGCAGATGCTACACTGCACTGGTTATAGTATCAGTTCATTTTGGTTATAGCATTATAATCATTTTGTTTCTGAAAGTAGGGCTGTGCAAAAAATTAAATGCGATTTTCATGCTCATCTCGTCAGTAAAGCCGGTTCTGTGATTAGTAGTAACTCTCCAGCACGTGCTTTCAGATTACGCAAAATCGTGTTCATAATCGGCAATGAATTGCCTGCAATTTTGAACGCGATTTTGCGTAGCTTGTCAGTGATCTACCACTCTGTGTAGTAAATGCCGCTCCATCTGAAAGCACGTGCTGGAGATTTACTACTAATCACAGAACTGGCTTTACTGACGAGATGAGCATGAAAATCACATTCGATTTTTTGCAAAGCCCATTCTGAAAGCCACTTTCACTTACTTCTGCCGTACAAACTCATCTGTGACCACCTTCTTTACATCACCAAACTCGTCATGCTTTTCCCTGTGAGAAGACAGAGGTATCAGAAGTGAAAAACCCCCCGAAAACAACAAAAACGTAAATTTAGTTTTTCAAAAGGATTTAGTGCACAAACCCTGGATCCACCCGCAGCTTCTTGAGTGTATTCCACACCAGATCTACAACATTCATGGACAACACATTAATAACAAACCACCCACAGAAACTGATCAGTAACGGCGTAACATGACTGTGTGAATGGCGCACCACTCACTCTCTTTAATGACACCGCCCTTCATGAAGATGACACTCAGAATGACAAACAGCAGGCCTGTCTTTGGGTTTCCAGGGTTTCTGTGTGGACAGAAGAAACAGACCGCAAAACTAGTGCAGGTGTGTGTGTGAAAAAATGAACATGCACATGCACATGTAATTTATACAAAACAGGCATAAGAAATAGAGAAACAACCTCTTAACAGCACACCGTTGTTAAACAAACCCAGAATGGACAAAATAAAGTACTGAATTACTGCAGAAGCACATGAAGTCTTAACACTGAAAAACAAAGGGATCACGGATCTTGTGTGTTACTTACATGCTCACTGGCTCTCCATGAATGGGCTCCAGCTTATTAATCAGGATATAAATGTGATTTTTGGGGTTTAATCCAACCAGCTTTAGTCCAAACACCTGCATCAAACACAGAAGTTCACCTCTGTTCAAATTCACATCTATAAAAGGCCGTTTAGTCACCGTATGATCCATCTGTTGTACCTGATCAAATTTGCGGCAAACTCTGTTCATGATTTCTGTATAGATGGCTTTGTATTCCTTTATCACATGTTTGCCAATATCTGCAGAAATCAGTCAAAAGAGAGTGAACACAAACAATGTATTAAATACATTTATACAATATAAATACTATTTTCTATTATGAATAATTATTTAGCTATAAAGCAGTGGGGATCTAATGAAGAGTAATTCATTGACCATAGAAGACAAACCTGCTCTTCGAATGGGTATTTTTTTTTGGTCTTTAATTAAGATGAACTGGACCACCTCTGCCACCTTGGCATAAAAGCAGAACAAAGCAGTTAAAAACCCAATGTAAAACCAACCAAAGAAGAAGAAGTAGGTGCAGTCAGTGCAGATTAGACAAAAAGATTGATGCCAATATTTGATGATAATATAGCAGCATAAGAGATTTATAAGCTATTTGTTGTAGGCCAGTCATTTTTGACCGGGAACAACACAAGGGTGATTTTTTGCAATTTTGCAAGAAATAAAAGCTTTTCAAAACAAATTTCTTGGTTAAACATTAGAGCATGCTAGTGTGAAAAACAGTGCAATTTTTTTTCATATTTTATTTAATATTGACAAAATTATCCACAATTTTTACAAGTTTTTTTCACTCAAAAACTGATGTATGTAAGCTCAGATTAATGAGGCCTACAAAAATTAGTTCCATAAACACAAAACCAGTCCTAATTGAAAGAAAACAAGCTGACAAAAAGATTGATACCAATATTAGGTGATAATATTGCATAACAAGAGATTTATAAGCTATTTTTTGTAGGCCGGTCTTTTTTGACCAGGAACACCACAAGTGTAACAAGGTTGAATAAAATAAAAAATGTTTTACGTAAATTAACAATTTTTGCGGTGGAAGTAGTTATGCCCTGTGTGAACAAAGTCAGTAAATCTTAGTCCAATTGGATAACATTAAGTAACATTTTCGGGAGAAAGAAATTTCTCTCTGTGTCAAAATGTCCAGAACACAACATGAGGGTTAAACATAAATATAAACATACAACAATAGAAGTATAAGAAAAACAATTATAAACCTATACAAACAGTTGACCATCTGACTATACATACACTATAAATAGTTGACTATACATTCACATAATCTGAGACTGTACAAGAACTTTACATAAATACTGCACAAGAAAATGTGCAAAAGAAATATTTTAGGGGAAGCAGCGCAGAGTGCAAGATGATTTGCAGTGCAATGCACAAGTAAACATATATTATCATATTGAGTCTTTGTAGCATGGAGTGTTTATAAAAGTGTCTAGTTTACATACAGAGAAAAGGCAAAAATTACTGAGAGTTAGAAAGTGTGAAAGACCCTCAGGAGTGCGGCCAGTGTCCCCCCACCGCTCCATTTATTAGTATGGAGTATCATAGTCAAGAAAGTTTATAATTTGCTTGTGCTCATAAAGAAACAGTCCTCCCAAAAATAAAAATGTACTAACCCCAAGGTAATCCAAGATGTACATGACTTTATTTAAAAATGTAAAAATGGTCTACACTGAGCCCCTATTACTTCATTAAAAGGAGAAAAGTCCTGGAAGAAAGTAATCAGCTGAAGAGAGATCTTGAATGGTTTGGGGCTGAGTAAACTGTCACTGTTCTGAAACACAACACTAGAGCCCGACAGATATGGGTTTTTTGGGGCCGTTACCGATATTAGGGAGTAAAAAAAAAAGGCCGATACCGATATATCGGCCGATAATCTTTGTGTATATTATAGTACAGTACCAGTCAAAAGTTTGGACACTTTCCCATTCGTGTGTCCAAACATTTGACTGGTACTATATATAGAATACAGTATATACATAAACAGAATATAGATACATAAACACATTTTTTGCAATGATCACTCAAATGTGGTGATCAAACACTTATAATGGTGACAGAGATATGTAAGGGAATTTAACAATTTAACAATAAACTTTACTATCCAAAATGAGTCTGACATCAGTGCACTGAACAGTGTTAGTTGTAACACACGTGGTTTGAATATTTATTTTACCATAGTAACATTTAAATTCTGGCTTAAGTACATTTTTTATCTCAGTTTTTATTATTTATTATATTTTATTATTCATTTAAAATGAGACAAATCTGCTATTATTTTAATCTCATATCTGTTATTTATCAGTTCAGATAGTTTTTTAATGCTTTGGTTACTAGCAGAAGACACTAACCAGTTTTAAAGTTTCAATGGTTTTCCATTGACTTAAGCTTTAAAGCGTTTCATCCAGGTCACCAGTAGCAAACAATGGAGCGCGCTCTGCTGGACAAACTAAGTAATTACACCATTTCAAGCATGTTATCTGCATTATATGTTCTGTAAAAAAAAAAATTCATATCGGCGGCATATTCGCCGATACCGATATATCGGCCGATAATATCGGCAAACCGATATATCGGTCGGGCTCTATACAACACACTAACTTATAGATGAACATAAGGCTAACTTTTGTTTGTTTGTTTGGGTAAGTGACGAACAATTTTACCAACTAAAATATTTGAATTTAGGATGTTCAGTGTTATTCAAACTCTGTTAAACTACTCAAGTACCCCATGCATCTGCTACCAGACAACGCTTTCACACACAGAGCTTATGACAACAGAACTGAATGTCACAAATGATTGACAGGTACCTTGCGGTCGATCTGGTCAGGCGTGAAGTTCTCTCGGGCTCGCTGGACCTGAGATGAGGTTATCTGGCTAAAATTAGCATCCTCGTCATCCTCACCCAGAGATACCTGAGAGCGCTGCAGTCCACACACACACACACACACACACACACACACCCACACACACACACACA